AAGGCGAGGCGTCCACGACCCGACTCCAAACGCGTCTTCACTGGACATAAGTTCTACGGCAGGCTCAGAACGTGTCGGTCGAGACGAACAGTTCTTGAGCAGCGTCTCCGCCTTCATTCGACATTGCTTCGAATATGCCGATCCCGATCATCCATCGAACCAGACGAATAAAGCCGTCGAGCAGGTTCAAGAAGAGGTCGACAACTTTGCAATTGGCGATGATGACGAAGAAGATGACTTGATCGACTTTGGCTCTGAGCCAGCAACACCAAAAGCCAAGCCGACGACGTTCGAGAAGTCAGAACAAAACCCACTGTCACCAACGCCATCGAACCACACTACCGAGTCAGACGTTGCAGAGCGCAATGACAAGGCCAAGTCGGCAAACCTTGCGCTGGATCCGAACAAGCCTTTACATATAACCTTGCCTACTTTCCGCATGGTCATCCTTGCAGACGACGCCTTACTGAACTTCTTCGAAGTTGGGTTTTCATCATCTTTCCGCCTGGCCGATGAGACACTCTCGTCAGGTTCCAGTTTCCACAACCTCACCACTTTTGCGAATGCTGGAAGACAGGGCGGTGGTGGTGGCGGATTGGGTGGCGTTGTTGGCGGCGCTGGGGCGGGCGTTGTGCCACCTGGAAAGGGCCTGCGAGGCATGCTCGACAACATTGTCAACGACGGCATGCGTGTCGCGACTGAGGTCAGAAGAAGATACGATGAAGCACAGAAGGAGCTGGACAAAGAGGCACGGCATGGACGCGAGGATGAAGAAGACGAAGAGGAAGTTGATGCGAAAGATTTAGACCTGTTAGAAGGTGCAGAGACGGCAGATGTGGGTGCGTCAAAAGGAGAAGCACCGCAAGAACTTTTGTCACCTACAGGTACTGGGGAGGAAATTAAGACGGCCAGAAACCGGTCGGCTAGCGATGCGAGTAGACGGGTACTTGAGTTTGAGAGGTAGCATTTGGGATACGGTATGAGTGGTCCGCTTGGAGTCAGGAATCATCTCAAGACCTTACTTCTGGTCTTTCCCATCACTAGACTTGTGTATGAAACCGTTTGAAGTTCTTTGCTGTTCGTTGTCTCTCAACAACCATGTCTGATGTCTCGATGGGGGAAGCCCCACCCTTGACGGCTAGCTATCCGACGTAAACCGCGTGTCTTTAGCTCCCTACAGCTACCCCGCAGAATCATGTACTGGCCCGCGGCTCAGTTCCGAATGAGGCTCACTAAACAGCTTTCTCCACACCGAAAACGATCTCACGATGCGCACATATCTTTCCTTACATCCGATGCATTCTCCGTGCGAAGATGATCCGGTCGCTCTTTGCTCGTGCTGCAAGGTCCCCTAAATCTACCCATTGCACGCGACGAGGTCTCCTTACACAGGCATACAGTGTAGGACCTACTGAGGTATCTTCCGAGCTTTCCGATAATGTGATTGTAGAGACTGACGTTAGAATAGCCGCCATTGCTGGAGAAGACTGTGCCGCAGCACTTTGCGGGGGTTGTGAGGCAACATGGCGACCGTGACGCGTACATGTCCTTCCCAATGAAGCTCCAAGGACGAGCTGGCTAACGTTTAAGTAGAGTAATATCACATCACCAACGCATACGCTTGACTTACGACGCGCTTGATCGCGACTCGAACAAGCTTGCAAGAGGACTGCAGAAGCTTGGCGTGAAGAGGGGAGACCGAGTTGCTGTTAGCTTGGGGAACAATGCTGAATTCGCTACTCTCACATATGCGCTGTTCAAGCTCGGCGCGATACTGGTATGTAGAGTTCGATTAGACGAAAAAGTAGTTGCAGCTAACAAATACATAGGTACCACTGAATCCCTCGTTCAACGCGCCCCAAGTCCTTAACGCTATCAACCATCTCGACGCCGCACATCTCATCATCGGAGCCGAAACGAACCTCCCTCGCAAAGAACCACGATCCAACATCTCACTCCTCACGCACTTGATCCCCAATCTCGCCGGCTCGAGCCTCGACTCCGAACTTGTTCCATCGCTGAAGAATGTCGTGCTGGTAAACAACGCGCAAGGGAGGGTAGATCTAGATGAGTACAGGAGTTTAAAGAGGTACGAGCACGTCATCGAAGATGGTGGCCAGGACAACGCGTTTGAAGACCAAGGGTTACATCCAGACGACATTGTGAACATTCAGTTTACGTCTGGGACGACGAGCATGCCAAAAGCTGCTTGTTTGAGCCACAAGAGTATCTTGAACAATGGCAATAGCATCGGTGACAGGATGCTGCTGACACCGGACGACGTCGTGTGCTGTCCGCCTCCATTGTTCCAGTAAGTTCTCGTGGGTCCCAGCATCGACATTACCTGACCCTCCGTAGTTGCTTTGGATGCATTCTCGGGTACATGGCTACAGCTACGCACGGCAGCGCTATCGTCTTTCCAACCGAAGCCTTCAACGCCCTCGCCACACTCGAAGCCGTTCGCGAATACAAATGCACAGCCCTTTACGGGGTACCCACCATGTTTGTAGCCGAACTCGAGCTGCTGGCTCACGGTGCCGTGCCTAAAGATGGCTTCCAGTACCTCAGAACCGGCATCGCAGCAGGCTCTGCGATTCCTTCTGAACTCATGCGCAAACTACACAAGAACCTGAACTTGACCGAGCTGACAATCTGTTACGGCATGACCGAGACTTCTCCCGTATCAGCTATGACCACCACGGATGATCCTATCGAAAAGCGCATCGATAGTGTTGGTCGCCTCCTCCCGCATGTTCGTGCCAAGGTCGTCAATCCATCAGACTGGTCGCAAACCCTCAACGTAGGTCAGCGCGGCGAACTCGCCGTATCGGGCTACCTTGTAATGAAAGGATACTGGGGCGACACAGCACGCACGGAAGAAGTTCTGCAGCCAGATGAAGACGGAAGGTTGTGGATGCACACTGGTGACGAGGCATCCATGGACGAAGAAGGCTATATCAAAATTACTGGCAGGATAAAAGACTTGATCATCAAAGGAGGCGAGAACATTCATCCTCTGGAGGTAGAGAATTGTCTCTTTGCTCATCCTGCTATCAGTGAGGTTAGCGTTGTAGGCCTGCCGGACGAGCGTTATGGCGAGATCGTTGCAGCGTTTGTAGTCAGACATGCGGGCGATGAAGGGAACGTGACTGCAGATGAAGTGAGAAGTTGGGTCCGGGAGAAATTGAGCCATCACCTAGGTAAGTCGATGTATGCCCAGGCTTTTGAAGCTTAGACTCCGGACCCGAGTAAGAGCGACGCTGACTGCAGGATTCAGTGCCGAAGTATGTATTCTGGGTGGACAACTATCCCAAGACCGCTAGTGGAAAGATACAGAAGTTCAAATTAAAAGAGCAGGGTATCGCATTGTTACAGGAAGGGAAAGGACTGGTCTAATCTGCCATAAGCCTTACGCCCTGTAATGAATCGATTCGTACGATATAGCGGACCCGATGACTAATTCACAACAGAGACTTTCCTACAAGCTGCATGCTTTAATTTCAATACCTTCTTGGCCCCAAAGTCCGGCAAAAGTCCTCTAACTAAGCTCCTTCGGGTTTATCCAATCGACTAACGACATGGTACAGTACTTTATGCGAGTGAGATTAGGTAGGTGGGTCGGTTACACTGATGCATGTAGCCGAGGGCTTTGTGTAGCTTGGAATTACCTTCCTTTCCCAACATGGTCAAGAGTGCCTGCGAGAAAATTCGTTGCCGATACTGTGCATCACTGCGGGCACTTGTGTGGTGTCGGGCGAAGTTGGTCATTAATAAATGTACATGTTGCAGCTCGCCTCACATTCGAGTCTGTAGGTTGGTCGATCGCTAAAACTCAACGTCCTTTAGCGCGGATACGTCTAAATACGTTTTGTTTGACTCGTACAGTACTCCATCTCTATTACCAATCTGTCCGAAACGATCACCTCCTACTGGCGGATTGAGTCTCTCGTTTAAGTCACGCCAAAACAAACGCCAAGATGTCCCAACCAACCAACACAAAGACACCTACTCCCTCCAACCCCTCGTCTCTAAAGCCCCGCTATGAGATACGTAAACTGGAACCTAAACACATTCCCTGGGCCACAGCAATTCTGGCTCACAGCCATGCTTTCCATTCATCAGTCTGGCAGTACATTTGGCCAGACCGGGTACTCGGCCGCTGGGCCTTGAAAGGTGCTTCACAGATGGAATATCTCGTGGAACACCAAGTCAACTCTGGGCTCTCATACGGTGTCTTTGACACGGAATACAAGTTCAAAACCAAAGAGGCCGAAGAAGTTGGTGGGAAATTGTTCTGGGATGCGAATGAGCCAGAAGAAGCTAGTGTGGAGCAAACCCAAGGACGCAAAGCAGAAGGCATGCGATTGCTCCAACAGATGGATTTTCCACTGGTCAGTATAGCTCTATCGTATGATGGATTCAATGGGCTTGATCCCGCAAGGATGGGACCGCTGCTCAAATTGTGGCCTGAGTTTACTGTGTTATACGGTACTCTGGAGAAGCGCGACCCGAGAGATCCTTCGGAGTGGAAACCTACTGCACCGAGGCAGGTGTTGATGCGCAATGCCACGTCTACACGCCACGACTATGAGGGCGAGAAAATTGCGTCTGGTGCGGCGCGTTGGTTGAGGCGCGAGGCAAAGTTGATGGGCTTCCGAGGCATTCAGATCGAGTGTATGGCAAACGCTGTAACGTATCTCTGGAGTGATGGTGTTGAAGAGCCGTTCAAGGGAAGGGTGATTAGTGAGTTTGACACTGAGATTCTCGAGATCGAGAATGGGGACAAGCCGTTTGGGTTAGCGAAGCAGAGGGTTACCAAGTGTTGGGTCGACCTATAAACATGGTGGTGACTGAGACGGCAATTGAGAAACAATATGTGAGAAGTAGACGGGCAGTATATTATGTGATGGTTCTTATCAATCAATGATGTTGCCTTGGGATAGTTTTGGTGCGTATAACTATCGTAAAGTCATAAGATAGAACTGAACGAACTATGACCTTCAATGCTCTGGTACCGTCCATTGCTCAAGCAGCACATCAACGACGTCTCGGTCGCCTGGGTCAATAGGTTCTTCGATCTCGAATATCTGTTTTCTCTTCTTCTCCCTCTGTAACAAAGTACTGTATGCACCTTCGAGACCGACATCTAGAGTACTTCTTATACGTCGTATCTTGTTATCACGAGGACGGTCGGCTTCTTGCTCCAGTTTATCATCCGACGGAGGGCGCACCACTGGGGCACGCGTGTCGTCTGGAACCGATGGTGTCTCCTGGGCGTGAGTGTTCCTCTGACGAACGGCATCCGACACAATGGGACGCGACCGCTTCCGCTTCTGGGTGCTTCTCAATGATCTTGTCATTAGACTTCCGTCTTCAGGTAACCTTCCTCCATCAAACTCTTCAAATCGCGATCCCTCTTTTGCTTTTCGCCGGTTGGGTTTCACAATGGGGGACTGTCGTACGCGGCCGTTGGCATTTGCCCGTGGTACGTTCCTTTTGTTGGTACTCCGTAGACTCCTCCGTCCTTGCTCCTGTGGAACCATAGCAGGCTCACCCAACATATCCATATCTATATCAATAGGCGAATGTCCAGTGGAACTCCTAGACGTCGTGTTCCGCGACTGCTGATGTGCATACTGATGGCTCTGGGCATTGAGGGCGGGTGATGTAACTGGGCTGAAGTAGGCTCCCGGTACAGCGAAACCAGGGATCTGAAAGCGCGCATCACAAGAGGAAGCTGCTACGGAGTTCATGTTTGATACGGTGTGGTTAAAACCGAAATGAAATTCTTCTGGTCGCGGTTCGTTCAGGTGTTGTCGTGGTGGAAGCGGTGACATTGGTTGCTGCTGCTGAGGCACTACTGGAAATGGCGTGCTCTCAGACCCGACATGAAGAAAACTATCAAAGTCAAAGTTCTCTAGGGTGCCCTCTTCCATGTCACCCAAATAGAATGCAGGATTGCATTCGATCGAAGATCGTGTGGCCGGAGACCCATGCCTCGATGGTCCCGTGGCTTGAGTAACATTGATACCTGATTCAAACTTGTGGCAAAAGCGTTGGTAGATTTTGCGTACGCGTCGCTTCTGATGGGGCTTTTGGTTGTTTCCGAGGCTCTTTTGAAGCACTATAATGCGCCTGAGCAGTTTTCTAACGTGCTTCGCAGCTTTTGATAGTTCCTCTATAGATATATGCTCATCGTCTTCGTCCGTCATTGTGGCGTCGCTGTCGGAGGTATCGGAATCGTCTGTAGCAGAGATATCGATAGTGACAGTGTTTGTCTGGGACTCTATGTCTTTCTCCAGAGGTGGCAGTTTCATGGTTTGAGCCTTAGTCATGAGCTCCAGTGTTGGAACACGGGAGGCGTTGCTTGATCCTTGAAGAGTCTCTACGTCGTCGATTGCAACACCGCAAAATCTGCTTTCTAGAGCTTGTAGGCTTTTAATTGAGTCCTGCTGCCGTTGGTGAAGTTCACGGATTTTGTCGCGCTCTTCTTCCATGACGCTCTTTTCCATTTTGCTACGGCTGCTGTCAGCTGCATTTCATGCGTGGCGGTGGAATTCTTGACTCACCCTCGCGACTGACCTTGCGCCAATTGCAACACATGCAACAAGAGTACAAGACTGTTCTTTAAGCTTTCTAGCCTCTTCCGATGTAATTCAACCCGCTGTTCTTTCATCGGCCATGCCAATTTACCCATCATACTCAGGGTCTTCTTTCCGTCCTTTCCTGTCTTCCTTCTCTTCTCCACCATCTCCGATAGTTCGTCGAAAACGCCCTGGCACTTTTTGATTATGTTGTGGGCGTCCTGGACAGCCTTCGTCGAGATGATCGACTTTGCGTCTTCAGACTCAAACAGCTTTCCTACGCTTTCGAGCGCGTTGGACGTGAGCTCTACATCGTCGGCGATGTCCCTAATGTCTTGGTCTGCTCGGGCAGCTGAGCTCGTGAAGTTGTACAATGTGACGCTGAGTTTCGCTCCAGCACCCGCGATCTGAATGATGCTAGCTGCGAGGCCTACGACTTCGGCCATTGTAGGGTAATCGCTGCGCAAGCATTACTAGTGTGTTTAAAAGTATCACGTCGTTGTACTGATCATATGGAGGGCGAGGATAAAGGTGGTCCAAGGTCAGGGTAGGATCCACAAACAGGCTGAGCCCCTGCTGCGGCTGAGGCGCATGCTGCATACCTTGCATGGCTTGCCATGGGGGCCGAAGCGAGTAACTGCATGATCCTACGAGATGTGTAGAGGCGCCAGCATTCCAACTGTAGTTGATTACCGCATGCTTCAAGTGCGATGAGGCCAAGCGTCACTAGGTAGGCAATAGTGTAGATGCTCTCATTATGTGTGCTTGCTGGTCTAGATTCTCGAGGGTGCACTTCACCGGGCAACACTGATATTGGGCCGCCTCGGCCAATCTAGCAAGACGAGCTTCTCTTGATAGAGGACAATTAACACTTTCGCAATTTTTTCTGGCGATGTATAGAACGCATGTCACGTCCCTTGGGTTGGATAATTGTAAATCGTGCAGAATGGTTGAAGAGTGGTTCTGGAAGTAAAAGACACAAAGGGTGTAGACATTACGTTCCAGAGCTAGGTTTTGGGTATATGGTGGAACAATATCGTGGTATAGAAAGAAAACACATCAGCGGCACAGCACTTGTGCCCCTTCGTCCATCATTTTCTCATCTAACATGTACGAGTTCCGGCGTTTGCTGGTAGTAATCCTGCTGGCCATTGCCGTAGGCGTACGTCGCTTGCTGCTGCATAACAGGCACATATACTGGCTCGGTCTTCTCGATCGTCTGGCTCCAGGAGATGTGTTTGGCGATGCACATCAGAGTCACAAAAGTCAGGATTTGTGACAATGCCGAGATGAATGACAGGGCAATCATTGCCTCATTCGAAACAGAAGATTCATAAGGCCAGAAGTAGAAGGACGAGAAGACGATCCCTAATACGGAGTAGACGAATAAGGTGATATAAAGAGCCGTTACCCAGCCGATGAGGTCCTACAAATTTGTTAGTGGATGCAATAGTAGATCGTATTTGCCGTCAACTTACGCCTCCGGGTAGGCGTCGCGATCTCAATGCAGAGACATTCGACAGCGAAAAGGCCGCAGAGATGATGACGCTAATCAACCATAAGATATCGACTGTGAGGGAGAAGGCTCGTGCAGTGATCATCGTGAGAGCAAAGTCGAAGTTCCAGTACTTGCTGCTTATCGAAACGTAGCTGGAAAGTGCCAAGTCCGCAATCATGACAGCGGCCATGACCCCAATGATGATCCAAGACACGGTCTTCGATCCGGAAGATGTAGTTTCGAGTTGCTTAAGCAGCATCGAGTTTAGGATGTAGACGAAGATGACGAGCAGCATCCAATTAGCCAGGCGGGACATGACGTTGGACGCTACCGATAAATTCAGATAGTCGTCGACGCTCAGGTCACTGCACTGATACATGAGCTCGCCTATGAGAACCAAAAGCCGCGAGCTTAGAACAGTCAGCATTTATGGAGTATGTGATGCAGGAGTCAGACTTACAGAACTTGGAAGAAAAGTGCGACGACGAAGGGTACGCCAACCAATTTCTTTCCGCCCTCGCTCTTCCTGCGAACGAAGAAAGTCGCGATGGAGAGCCCCAGGAAAAGGACAAGGAATACCACATCGTATGCGAGGCTGGCTTGGGCAAGTGGTGACATGAAAGCTCCCGAACATGTTGAAGTCATATATCCGGCGCCACTACCACCCCCGCGTCTTGGTGCCATGATGAACGTTGTGTGGTGATGCAAGCGCAAATCTGGAGGTTCAACTGTCGTTGCGGTCGCTGGTTGGAGGCTCCGGGAATATAGGGTCACAGTTAGATGCTCAAGAGATGATGAAGCGCAACTTTCGCAAAACACGGTTCACGGCACTTGAGAGTATTTCAGCATTATCGTCTGCATGCTATGTTCGTGCTGCGCCTCTTAACAGCCTGCATCGTTCCCGTAATTCTCATTTTGCGAATAGGATCAGGGGCATTCGAGGCGTCGCTAAGCCATTCAAAGCACTTGTTGGCCGCCTTGACTGGTCCCACAAGGGTGGAAGCGAAGGTGCGCGACATTCGATGGACGCCTTAAATGGGACCTGCAGCCTCGGCGCGTAGGGTCGCAGCGTGTCAGTCCATGATCCCAGTGGTTCTGATGAAGTAGATACTGAGGGCACGGCGATTCTTTGTCGCACCGCTAAGTTCTGAAATGCGAAGGGGAGAGCTGATTAAAGAGACCCCTGGCAAGAGTTTATTCCGACCCCGATCCCGAAACGGCCGGGCTGTGTTGAAGCTAGCAGCGGTGTGCGGGTAGTCGGAGGTTTGCGTGCGGCGGCTTAAATATCGAAGGCACGGTAGGTAACAAAGTGGGACGATGGGTGGGACAATGCGACGAAGCCAAGGCGGGGGGGGGGGGGGGGGGGGGGGGGGGGGGGG